GAGAACGGCTGCTGATGTGTACAGTATGTCTTGGCTCATTTAAGGTGCAGATTCCCAACTCATATTTATTACAAAAGGGAATGTCTTTTACTACTAGGTAATTAATAGGAACATTTCACTCCAAAACTATATTTTGGTATTTTTTTCATTAGTCCTCTGTTGATATAGTCCCAAAGTGTTTTGCATGTCAGCAGTCAAGTTATCAAGATATTGGACTTTTAAGAAAAAAAGTGTCACCGGCCACATCATCATGATGATGCATTTTGCATCATGATGATGCGTTTTGCATCATAAAATGCATTTTGCATCATATGATGCAAAACGCATCATCATCATGATGTGGCCAGTGACACTTTGCTTTCCCTTTACAGCTGTTTTTAAAGCTTGTCTGAGTTCTGAAATGTATGATAGATCTGTCCGTCCTGTGTGTAGGTGTTGCGCCTGCAGGAGCTGGTGAAGGAGGGTGAGCAGGGCATGGGTACAGCAGTGGGACACATCACCAACCTGAAGGAGGCCCAGGACAAACTAGTGGAGGAGCTGGACGCTACCAGGGCCAGACTGAGAGAGACCAGCAACCTGCTGACCGCCCTGCAGGTGAGAGTACCAACAATGCATACATATAGACACAAAGGCATGCACACACACACACACACACGTTCTACCCCTGGGCCCTTTGTGGTTCTCCTCATCAGGGAGGCATTGGAGAATCCATCAGCAAACCCTAACGATTTCCCTTCCCCATTCACTCTTCTGACTGGAGATTTATTGATTGTATATCAAGTTTATTTATAGGGGGGGGGGGGGGGTACTAAAGCTTATCTGTACTGAATTGATCCCCTAGCCTTGAGTCTATTCCCATACAAAATCCATCACATCCACCTGCTTTGTCCCAGATTCCTATTCTTGATATGCCAAGCAGACTATCCAGCAGCTTTGGATTGGCATACCTAATCAGACTCAGATTCTGAATTCTGTTCTCATCTTTAAAGAGCCCATATGGCATTGGCAGTTCATTAAAGGCTGCTCTTCAGACTGGCTCTCCCATGCCTTTGACCTGCTGTGGCTCCTCTTTCTCTTTCTCTCTCCCTCTTCCCCCCCTCTCTCATCTCTCTGGCCTTGCAAAATGAAGCAGGCTCTAGTCTGAATGTCAGGTAAAGTGTGGAGCAGCACTCTGTCACAAATAAGAATTGATGGCAATGGAGCCAAGTGCCTCCTTGGTAGTAGTGTATGTTGAGTCCTGTCCATAGAGGTTTAGAGCCCATGCTCAATTGTCTTGTTTATCATGAGGGCTAATATCATGAACCCTTTCTCTCTTTTTATTCCTGTCTCTCTCTCTTTCTCCTTCCCTCTCTCAGGGAGAGATGGAGGCCCAGAAGAAGCAGCATGAGGCTAAAATCATCACCACTAAAGAGGACGAGAAACTCAAGATGGACAAGATGGCGCTGGAACTGGAGCTCAAGTGGACCGAGACGTTAAGGTATGTGTGTGTGTCCTTGTTTTTGGGTCTGCCTTGGCCCTGGGATGGATTTGATGAGATGTGCCAAGGATGGCGATGGAGAGGGTGAGCGAAAGAGTTCGGCTTAGAGTAACTGAAACAGTCACATTGAGGCGAGGTCCACCATGATACATTAACTCCAGCTCCAGCACCATAGTAATAATACCAGTCCAGGGTTGGTCCCTGATCCCAGCCCAGCAGGAGGTCCTCCTCTCCCTGGCTCTGAGGATTATGAACGGACGGCTTCATTTAGAAAGAGCCAGTGCTGCACCACAGATTATAACCACTGAAATGGACGGTGACCATTGGAGTTATCTTCAGAGGGCTCAAATCCACACAGAGTAATACGTTAACACTGTACTGTAATACTGTACTTTTGATGTACTGTAGCTAGCTAGGTCACACATTGTGTGCAAATGAAAGAGGAGTAGGAGGAGATAGGTCCCATGAGAAATAATAAAGCCCCAAAATATTTCTATATCTCTTTTCTTTTAAAGAGTTCATTTTCCACAACATTTGTTCAGTCACTGCCCTCGCTTACCTCTAAATGGGCTACTCGGCTGAAGCAAAGGCGGGTGTTCACCAAGCGAGCAGACAGAGCATCTCACTGCCGCTGCTGGTGCCTGGTCTGGCTCAAAGGAGAACGAGGGCATGGTAATGAGGTTCATATGAGATATGGATTTGAGCCCGATTAACAAAGAGGCCCTGACAAGCCACTGCCTATGAATTTCAAGTGGAAAAGGGTTTTGTTGTCACAATTATGAGCCATTTGAATCTCAATGACTCTACAGCAGGGACATGTGAATCAGGGTGTGAAAAGAACTGCAGCTCAGAGATTTGAGACTGGGGAGGAGGAGGAAGTTCATCCCAGCTCATCAGACAGAGTCCAATTAGTGTCTGTCTCCCTTGCTGGGGTCAATTAATGTCTTAATACAGCATTAGGATTCCTGATTACCGTGCTACACATGAAGTTGTACAAAACTGTAATTACGTTTCATTTACCCTCCTCTCTCAATGTTCATATTTCACAATTGCATTCCCCTTCAGCTTCTTTTCATTTTGTCTCTATGAATTGTAATTTATTCATTGCATTTGGTGAATTTTATGAATTTTACATGCGCTGTAGTTCTGACAGCATTTAGTGTTTTAATTAAGTGAAATAGTAATTAAAACCAAATAGAAGTTAAGCATAATGCAAATAACAACCTCCCGGGGTTCTGATTGTACTTCTGTGTTTCTGTACAGAGCCTTGTTTTGTCCTTTCACAGCACTGTCACTGAATAGTATTATTATTTGCTGTTGTTACTGTCTGCAGTTATTCAACTCAACTTCACCTCTCCAGTTCATTGAGTTTGTCTGTGGTCTTGCCCTCATCTCTTCTTATCACCGTGTATAACTGGAGCCAACAGGCCACTCAGAATGAAAGAGAGCGAGAGAGAGGGATGAAAGAAGAAAGAGAGAGAGAGAAAGAGAGAGCAAGGCAGAGGGAGAGATATTCACATTTCCCTCCTCTGTTCTAGGCTCTTCTCTTTCATCTCCTGTGACGGCCAGTCAGAAACATCTCTCCTCCTGCCCCTCACGGGGAGCTAGACTGTTGTGGAGGGAGATGCAGTAGCAGAGATACCAGAGCCCCCCTACCCACGTTAAAGCTTCCTGCTCTGTTTACCTTACGTAATGGTGGGCTTGAACATGAACAGCATTAGCAAGCGGAACAATGCAGTTGGGACGGCACCACCACACTGCACCGCAGTGCCTCTGACAGCCTTTCAAGTGCCTCAACCGCATGAGATGTGTGTGTGTGTGTTATCTGGCGCCCGCCGTGGCACACACCTGCACTGCGAGCACACACACATGGAGAATACGCACACACAGGGGGACCGAGAGTAATTGAACAGAGCTGGCTTGGCTCGTACTGAGAGAGGTAGACATCTAAGATCCACTATTTCCGACAGATAGAATATAAGAGGAAGCTCCTTTACTGAGTGTTTCAATGTAGTGATGTCAGAACCGGGTATAATGAACGTCCACTGTCAGTTGAGATTTACCTCAGACTTAACCTTTGTGAGAGATGCCTGCCGTCGATGTGTGCCAGAAGTTGGGGAAAGAAACTATGTTGCTGTTTAGACAGTAAGTTGATGGAGTCCATTTGTGGCTGACTGCCTGTCATATCTGCTGCTGTCTGATGTTGACTGAAAGCTTTGATCTAAATGGGGCCGGCTGATTTACACACACGCCTCCTCCATTCTCGCTACATCCTCATTCATTCTCCTCCCTCCTTCCTCCCTTCTCCCTCCTCCTCCGTCCTTCAATCTCCCTCCTCCGTACTGCCTACACTCTCCTCCATCCTCCCTCCCACACTCACCCCCTCCTCCCTCCCATCTCCTCCATTCACCAGGTGCTGAGTGCCCTCCTAGGTAATTAGCCAGATTGGGGGTTTGGGGCTAGAGTATGAATATGAATATGAGGCTCTCTACAATATAAAGGCCCTGACAGCTGTGTGTCTGTCTTTTTCTGAAGAGAGGTTGATCAACACGTCCCTTACAGAAGTGTCACAGGGCTAAACCGTAGCACTCACCCTGATGCTCATCTGCTTGTAGGAAAACAAAAACACTGTCGGCGCCTCACGTTTAACGACGCCATTCTCTGCTAAATAACGATTAAAATGCAGTCCGCACTCCTGCTAATTGGTCTTTGCAGTGCCGTTAAACGCGTGGGCATTGAATTGCGCTGAGATGGTGAGGTGGGAGACATTTGCATGACGCCGTGGGGAATTGTACAGATGTACACTCTGCTCCGCTCCCAAGGACGTGGACTCTGAACACCCCCGGAGCTCCGACAGACAGCAGCTCGCTGGAAATGTTCAGCAATTACAGGACATACTGTTATCCTCTTAGAGACCCTCTGTGCCCCAGGCTGCGCTGTGTACAGACCGATGCATGCATTAATATCTACATCCTGTAGCAGACGGATAGTGCGCCAGCCCCAATCTCTCTCCTCTCTAATGATGGCTGTATGCACAGTCTGCTCTAGAGGGAAGTGCAGATGCATTCTGTTTATGAAATATGCACACAACACCAACTTTTCCTAACAAATGTTTCATGTTGGGCTGTGTCGCATTGTTCGTCCCAATGAGAAGTGGCGTTGGTAAAAGGGTCTAAACACAGCCACATACAGTATGAAATATTTACTAGAAGGAATTTTCAAGCATGTGCTCTTGCAAACATTACTTAATAATAATAATAATGTGTCAATGTAATCCTAACCCTAGCTAAAACAGGGTTCTACTTTATATGATTTGCAGCAGCATTACTGTTTTGGAATTAGTGAGAAGATATTACTAGTACACTACATTAATGCTACTACTATATATTACTACATGAAATTATTTTTAAATGGTTTGCTTTATTTCATTATTTTGATCCCCTGACCCCTGGGTGATCTTTTATTGTCTTCTGTATACTTAATCTAATGGTAATTGTGTGCATTTGGTGTGTGTGTCCACAGGCAGGAATGTAAGAAGCTGCGTGAGGAGCTAAGGGAGGATCATGAGGATGACAAGCGGGCAGCCCTCACCCAGCTGGCCCAGAACAAGGAGCAGGAGCTGGGCAGTGCCCGCGAGAGCTGGCAGAGGAAGGTGGAGGACCTACTGGAGCAGGTAAGAGACAGTCCACCCTCACCCTGCTGCACCACACTACAGCTGGGTACTGTTATATAGAGGTCTTCTCGGGTCCAAAAAGTTGGACCCATTCCGAAATGGACCCGGAGCTTTCCTACCCGGACCCAAACGAATAAATTAATTTTAAAAATATGGAGACCCGGTCCTAATGGACCAGAGGGCAATCGGACCTGGCCCCATATAGAGTCTTTTCGGGTCCAGACCCGGCCTGATCCGGTCCGAGTGAGGGAAGCAGCAGAAAATATACATTTTTCACTACGTTATTAACTGAAGCTGTTAATGCACGCACTGAGGGAGGGAGAGGAATGAAGGAGCTAGCAGCAGGCGGGGGAGGGGCCGGGCAGTGTGTGTATATGTGGCTGAATGGCACAAGGAGGAGCGAGAGAGAGACCGCAGCAACCAAGCCGACTCGCACTAGTTACTAACTTTTAGCTACCAAAGCTAGGTTATTTATCAACCAATCTGATTACATACCACCTGTTTTGACTGCATCAAACCAAGAAGAGTAGCTAGCTAGTTAAGCTAGCTAGCTGGGTTGGCTAATTGAGGCTACATAGGCTGCACTTTCCCCCGTCCTACACAATTACAACAATAACAACAACCCTATTCAAAGTATTAAGTAGCAGCCTACTAGTTGCCTCTTGGTCATTGTAGCCTATCAATCAATCAATCAAATGTATTTATAAAGCCATTTTTACATCAGCAGATGTCACAAAGTGCTATACAGAAACCCAGCTTAAAACCCCAAACAGCAAGCAATGCAGATGTAGAAGCACGGTGGCAAGGAAAAACTCCCTAGAAAGGCAGGAAACTAGGAAGAAACCTAGAGAGGAACCAGGCTCTGAGTGGTGGCCAGTCCTCTTCTGGTTGTGCCGGGTGAAGATTATAAGAGTACATGGCCATTAAGGCAAGATTGTTCTTCAAGATGTTCAGTCGTTCATAGATGACCAGCAGGGTCAAATAATAATCACAGTGGTTGTAGAGGGTGCAACAGGACAGTACCTCAGGAGTAAATGTCAGTTGGCTTTTCATAGCCGAGCATTCAGAGGTCGAGACAGCAGGTGTGGTAGAGAGAGCGATTTGGAAACAGCAGGTCTGGGACAAGGTAGCACGTCCGGTGAAACAGGTCAGGGTTCCATAGCCGCAGGCAGAACAGTTGAAACTGGAGCTGCAGCACGACCAGGTGGACTGGGGGCAGCCAGGAGTCATCAGGCCAGGTAGTCCTGAGGCATGGTCCTAGGGCTCAGGTCCTCCGGGAGGGGAGGGAGAGAGAGAGAATTAGAGGGAGCATACTTAAATTCACACAGGACACCAGATAAGACAGGATAATTACACCAGATATAATAGACTGACCCTAGCCCCCCGGTACATAGACTATTACAGCATAGATACTGGAGGCTGAGACAGGGGTGGGTCTGGGGACATTGTGGCCCCGTCCGACGATACCCCCGGACAGGACCAACCAGGCAGGATATAACCCCACCCACTTTGCCAAAGCACAGCCCCCACACCACTAGAGGGATATCAACAGACCACCAACTTACTACCCTGAGACAAGGCTGAGTATAGCCCACGAAGATCTCCTCCACCGCATGAGCCCAAGGGGGCGCAAAGCCTATCCTTCACGTTTAACTTTTAATTCCATCATTTTAGTTCCATCTTCCATTGATCTCCTAACTTGCTTGCCAGAGGCTAGTGCCGCTTTGATGACTTGTGATTCACCGACAACAACAACAAGCTACACACGCCAATCTCGTGAAAAGCCTGAGCAGCAGCATACAATTCTCTCTCTCTCTACTGCAGCAGTCGTGTTCGGGTCTATAATTATAATTACACATACCCGAGACCCGTGACAATCAAATCCGATCCGACCTGGATCGGAGGGTCAACTACAGAATTCTGGATCCGACCCAGTTGGAACACGAGTTGGATCCCGGGTAATCGGGTTCGGTGGACCTGTGAAAACCTTTACTGTGATATACACAGCATACTCTGCCCCATGTCAACATTATGACTGGGTTCAAGGATAAATGGAGAGTAATAAGCCTATATCAATGGAGAGTAAGAAGCCTATATCAGACTAAAATTGAGCTTTTTGGCCATCAAGGAAAACGCTATGTCTGACGCAAACCCAACACCTCTCATCACCCCGAGAACACCATCCCCAAAGTGAAGCATGGTGGTTCAGCATCATGCTATGGAGATGTTTTTGATCGACAGGGACTGGGAAACTAGTCAGAATTCAAGGAATGATGGATGGCGCAAAATACAGGGAAGTTCTTGAGGGAAACCTGTTTCAGTCTTCCAGAGATTTGAGACTGGGATGGAGGTTCACCTTCCAGCAGGACAATGACCCTAAGCATACTGCTAAAGCAACACTTGAGTGGTTTAAGGGGAAACATTGAAATGTCTGTGGTATGACTTAAAGATTGCTGTACACCAGCGGAACCCATCCAACTTGAAGGAGCTGGAGCAGTTTTGCCTTGAAGAATGGGCAAACCTCCCAGTGGCTAGATGTGCCAAGCTTATAGAGACATACCCCAAGAGACTTGCAGCTGTAATTGCTGCAAAAGGTGGCTCTACAAAGTATTGACTTTGGGGGGGGTGAATAGTTATGCACGCTCAAGTTTTCTGTTTTTATGTCTTATTTCTTCTTATTATTTTGCATCTTCAAAGAACTAGGCATGTTGTGTAAATCAAATTATACAAACCCCCCAAAAAATCCATTTTTTAAATCCAGGTTGTAAGGCAACAAAATAGGAAAAATGCCAAGGGGGGTGAATACTTTCGCAAGCCACTGTATGTCATACAATATTAAATCATCCACTTCCAAATGTCCATGAATAGGTGAGAGGAGAGTGCTCAGGGCCTCGCCGTACACATACAGATACAAGCCATGACATTGAAAGACTGCTGAGAAGCCTATTCTGTTATCTTAGCTGTAACTCCCACTGCAGCTGTAGCTAGCACTGTCACTCACACAAATTGTATGAAGATAAAACATGGTGAATTTATCTATTCAAATTACGACATTTTAAATCTTCCCAAACTGGCACTGGTAGCCCTGTGAAGGGGACTGAATGGGCCAATCAAATCTAATTAAAAACGAAAACTTTTAAAGCACTTGTACATGCTAATTGCATTAACATTCAGGGCATTTCACAGATAATAATTAGGTTTGACAGTAGAAAGTAATTTCATATATTTTTAGAGACTAAACTGAGATATCACCATATTTCACGTTGTCTTGTCCTCTGTTCAGACATTGAAATAGGCAGTGCTGCTCATATTTTCCTGTTGTTTTCAATCATGTAGAGAAAAAGGGGTCTCCTCTGTCCTCACCAACTTGGCTATCCCTCAACCACTCCCTGATAAAGAGCTACCCTAACCTGGCCGCCTTCCCCTCTCTGCCCCTTTTATAATTTTTGTTGCCTTTATTTTGACATTGTTGACTCCTGAATGTTTCCCTGTGTTCCTGTGTAATTTGTTCACACCCAAAGCGCCACTCAGCACTGTGAAGCTTTACATAAGTCAATCAGTAATGTAAGCATGAAACACACCGAGAATCTTACTGCCTATGACTGCCGATAGGTACTTGTCACAGTGGGAGGCCGATCCTTCTCTTGCTAGACCAAAAGCGGTAGCTGCTGCGTGCCGACGCGGTTGCGACGAACCTACCGATTCTACTTGTACAATCGCTATGCTCGTCAGTGGCCAACAACTTGACATTGAGCCAATCAGAGAGCACGACTCCCACGTGGGGGAGCCAACAAAAAAAGGAACAAATTAGGGCATTTCCTCCGTACATCTACGGATGAGCCAGTCACACTTCATATGCAATGTAGGCTATGGAATGGTAACTAGCTAAGTGCACAGACGCAATGCACACAACACTAAACACATCCTCCAAGATAGCTAACCACTGTAGCTAGTATTGACATTATAAGGAAATCACAATGGATTAGCTAGTTTCCATGAAACAGCTGCCTGGGTTAGTGCAGTGTCCTTAGCTAGCTAGCTAGCTACGTTGTCCTAGTTAGCGAATATGCTAAAGTTAGCTAGCTAGCTAAACATTTGGCTATGGGTTGGCACTGGCAGAATGGGATTATGGGGAGTGAATTAAATAGTTTCTACGTCATCTTGCTAGGTAGTTATCAAGCTGTGGCCATTTGGCTAGTATCAACAAGGGCTTTCTACAAAATAGCAACATTAACGCAAATAGCATTAACACAGATATGCATTGCCAAACAACGCTACTGCCACCTTCTGGTTTGGAGTATTTTAACAAGGCTGAGTGGCTGACTACTTCCAAGGTCTTTGCTGTGTGAACACAAAATAGATTGACTGCCGACACTCTGTTCAGAGGTGTTAAGTACTGTCGGCAGGCAAACGTTTGACAATCCTACCGGCGTGTCTAAGCTTTTAGTCTAAAGTCCACTTACACACCTGCTCCACTTTGCGCTCTTTATTTCCCCCTCAGTATACTGTGTTTACAGACAAATACCAGTATATTCAACTGGTGTGAGTGGCTAGCATGATGGCGTTGTGTGGACTTGCCCTGGCTTGCACTAACGATGCTGGTTTCACAGCATCCATTTTCCTTTTGCTACAGTGTGCTGTACGCAGGTGAGTGTTTCTTGTGGGGGACACTTGCAGTGTTGAATGTGCCAACGTGTGTGTGGTTTCTCTCTTCACTCGTCTCTATGCATAGAAAGTTGTTGTAGAACCACTGTGACTGGTTGCTACTGCAGTAAACCAACGTCATCCAGTTCCCAGGCAACACGCATGAAACTCTAATTACCTAAATCTGCCTTCTTCTGAACATTGATATTATCTTTATGCTCTGTAACTGACTCTTGGTACGCTTCACACTGGAGTGTTTTCCTCTTCCTGACTCTGTGAAAGGTGTATATTTCTGTTCTTTTGATGAGACAGAATTACAGCCTCTCTGAGTGGCGTGTGATTTACTGTACCTCCTGCTCTCTCTGCTGTGCCATAATAACCACATCTGAGTCTCCTCTGAGTTAGGAACGATGTTTGTTTGCGCTCAGGTCCCAATGGAAGGCATTCAGCAGCCTCTTATCCCTCTTCACGGTTAGTGCAATTTTGATAGCAGTCACACATTTTGCAGCAGATGAATCTGATAATAAGTCTGGCACACCACTGAGTGAGCATTACAGCTGTCCAGATCCTGTGTGTCGCCTCTTGTTCTCTCCAAGGCAGTGTAGGTATTGATTCTATGGGAGGTGTGAATGTCTTCTGTCAATGGCCCCACTTTAGTGTCAGCAGCACTGCAGTCTGTCTGCCACATGTCCACAGTATCACTGTGTCATTTTTCCTCCCAGTGCCAAACTAATACTCTCCCTGCATTATAACATTGATAATGCTCTGTGCACTCCATACTGTTTGTTGTCCACATTTTATATTACGCAGATGCTGGAAAAATCTATGCATGTGGGGGGAAGGAGGGCATTCTGACTCTGAGCTCCTACTTAAAGGTGTAGCTCCAGATGCTTCCTTCCAGCTAGCAGCAGAGTCAGGGTGACTTATGGAGGTGTCACCACCATGGATCTTTTCCTCCCACACATTCCTCCTCTCCTGCTCTGGGCCCGGTCGATCTCATTATTCACAGTAATAATACCCAGTAGTAATAGGCTGTAACTCCTAATGAGGCCTGGCTGATTAATGTGGCGTGACTGAGCTCTCATGTTGATCACACACTGAGCTGTTGATCACACGTAAACAACAGTACATGTAAGGTGCTGCCAAAGTTTGCAAAGCATAAAGCAGCCAAAGTTGCTGCAGGCCTACCCTATTGAAATAAGGATTATGAGGGTATAATTGGTTTAAAAATGACTTTTTGTTGCACCCTCCAACAAAAAATTAATGTTGTGTTTCTTCAGGTCATAACTAGCTAGTGGGAAAAATTGATATCTGTTTTTGTTGTTAACGAAGTAGGCCTAGGTTAGTGAATGAAATATACAGACAAACAGGTCTCTCACACCTGTAAAATAGGAGCTAATGACACTATGTGCAATCTGATCCAATCGGTTCTCCTCTCTACCCCCTCTCTCTCTCCCTTTCCCTTCAACTCCTCCCTTTCGTCAGATCTCGTTGCTGAAGCAGAGTCTGGAGATGCAGCTGTCTCAGTCGCAGAGCTCCCTGCAGCAGCTGCATTCCCAGTTCAGCCAGGAGCGGGAGCACCTGAGCCAGCAGCTCCAAGAGCTGCAGCTGGAGTACCAGCGCAGGGAACACAGCCTGCAGGAGGCCCACTGCTGCGCCATGCAGGACCTGGAGGAGACCCGCCAGCACGACCTCAAGGTGTGATCATTTAGAACTGTCTGTCTAGAACCTGTCTCAGAACAGAACTCTGTAACACCCATCTGATTACCACCCACATCCCCCTCTGTCTACCGTCGATCATGTCATTGCCCATGACCCTTCACATCCAGAGAACAATTTCACAGTAGAATAGTTGTGTTGCCAATGAACTCAGAAATACCATCTGACTCTTTTAGCTGACATACTGTATATTCTCATTGACATGAACATTGGAAAGAGACTCTGCTCCAGAGGGTACTGCCCTACACTCTACCCTTTATCTAGCTCTGTCAGCTTACAAGTGGTTAGAGTCACTGCCAGTGTGAAAGCTCCCTAATAGTGACTTTAGAGCACTAGATTAGATATTTGAGGCATGATGGGCCAGAATAGGCTCTGATGTGTCAGTAAGACTGGATATCAGTCAGGTACAGAGAATGAGGAGAGACAGTGGAGATTTACTGGTGAAATTGCTGGTGATGTGGCCAGATGGACTTTTGCAACAGTGAGTCCATCAACATTACCAGAGACGTGGAGCAGTTGACTTCTGAGCGGATCAGTGATTTGGACCTGACCCTGATTTCATTATTGCTGTTTGGGACACACACTGACTGCTTTTCAATTCTTTCACTTTAAAACGAATAGGCTACGGAGCAGCAGCAGCATAATTTTTGATGGAATTACGATGCAACACAGCTAATATTGTTCCAGGGCATCTTTACAGCAGCTTATGAGTAATGTAGTGCAGTAATGTAATAATATGGGAATGTCTGAGGAATCTGACGAGGCATCTGTGTAATAGTAATTCAGATGGTGATGAGTTTGCTGTCAGCACAGCCGGGGGCAATAACTCTGATCCATAAACCAGTCTCATCCAGGAGCCCCAGTGTTAGCATTAGCTTCCTGCTCAGATCCATATCTTTTTAAATCAGCCCTTCTGCTCCTAAAGCTCTTTATAGGACATGAGAGTGAGTTGTGTAGCGAGAGGGGGCTATATCGATCAGCGCGGGTCATACATTTAGTTGCATGGGTTCATGCTTGAAAGGCAGCCTGCCAGCCAGGCTCATACATGGGCAAACTGTGAAGGTCTAGTTCAGCAAGGTGATGGGTTCCGTTCATTTATTCACTGGTGTTTAATAAGTAAACGCACCCGGGCTGCTGGGTTCACTGTGGCACAATCTCAGCTGGAGAAGGCTGCATTTGTTCCTCACAAAAATGAAACACTGATAGCCAAAGAGCGTGTACCACTTTTTGGCACAACAGATATGCCCCCCTCTCCATCTTTACATATAACAGACTTACTGACTATACCCCAAAACACTGACATCTCAATACTAGTCCGGGCATTTCATAATGAAGGTTGAAGTATGAATCAGAACCCATTAATCAATCCAGACACACCCAGTACATGAAAATATAGACTTCTGAAAAATATAAAGACATTTACTTTTTCACTTAACACTGAACCTTTCCTTCCAAAGAAAACAGAAGCAATTTGTTTTTCTGCACTTAACATTCCATTATACAGTCAAGGTCATTTTGAAATACATTCAACCTTACTCTGAGGCTTCTTTTGATATTCAAAAACCCTCGGATTGAATTTATTTGAAGGGGTCATGCAGAGTTGTGCAAAGCTGACACAATGTCCCCAAGCATTCTGTCTCACCTCTCCAGCCACAGATTGGATTAGAAGCAAAAGACCCATGAGTCATCGGTGATTGAATGGGCCGAAAAAGTATTTCATGTCTGCTAATAAAAGAATATACCACCCCTAGGAACACATTTATCTCAATAGCTGTTCGCTCTTGAATACGGGCTAGGTTGACTCAAAGTTGTTCTAAAATGTATAAACCTTTGCAGGGGTAAATGTATTAAGGGTTTATTTTGTTCTAGACATGTTTTATGAGGACAAAGGCAAACTGAATTGTCTTGTTTGAGGCATTAGGGACAAATCCAGTTTCACCTTGCCTGCAGGGGGAACACATATCCTCTGATATGATCTATTTACATGACAGGCACTGTTATACAAGGCCAATTAAAAATGCTTACAAATCTTCCGCACATATACTTTAACATCCAATCTAGGAGCTACTTTTTCACAGTGTCGCGATTTCAACAAATCACCTAGGTCGAGGTATGAACACGTCAAATACGGTGTCTCTTGTGGTTCTCTCAAGCTATAGATTATGCGCCTTTCAAGCTTATTTTTATTTTTCATTCGTGCACCGGTTTACATAGTATCAGCTGAATGAATAGGCACACAATGATATAGGCTCTCTCCTGCTACATGTGTTTCTAACAGCTAATTCATGATTATTGACTGACTGTAATGGAGTTAAGATTGACAAACTACCCGGTGTGTGCACACAGACTTAACAGACCCAGGGTTTTGGACCTGAAAATGAACTAGCCTGGTCCCATACCGTGTACTGTAGCCAGCTCCTCTTATCATTGTCAAGCTATACATGAACAAACACACAGAGGAGTTGGTTAAAGCACAAACACAATGCACAGACCACCGGCTAACAGTTCACATCTAGATACTACACTACATACTTTGGATTTGAAATGATAGAATGACTATGATGCTAAAGTGCAGACTGTCAGCTTTAATTTGAGGGTATTTCCATCCATTTCGGGTGAACCGTTTAGAAATTACAGCACTTCTTGTACATAGTCCGCCCATTTTAGGGGACCAAAAGTATTGGGACAAATTCACTTACAGTGCTATGAAAAAGTATTTGCCCCCTTTCTAATTTTCTCTAGTTTTGCATATTTGTGATACTGAATGTTATCAGATCTTCAACCAAAACCTAATATTAGACAAAGGGAACATAAGTGAACAAATAACACAACAATTACATATTTATTTCATTTATTTCATAAACAAAGTTATGCAACACCCAATTCCCCTGTGTGAAAAAGTAATTGCCCCCTTACACTCAATAACTGGTTGTGCCACCTTTAGCTGCAATGACTCCAACCAAATGCTTCCTGTAGTTGTTGATCAGTCTCTCACGTCGCTGTGGAGGAATTTTGGCCCACTCTTCCATGCAGAACTGCTTTAACTCAGTGACGTGTGGGTTTTCAAGCATGAACTGCTCGTTTCAAGTCCTGCCACAACATCTCAATTGGGATTAGGTCTGGACTTTGACTAGGCCATTCCAAAACTTCCAATGTGTTGCTTTTTAGCAATTTTCATGTAGACTTGATTGTGTGTTTTGGATCATTGTCTTGCTGCATGACCCAGCTGCGCTTCAGCTTCAGCTCACAGACGGATGGTCTGACATTCTCCTGTAGAATTCTCTGATACAGAGCAGAATTCATGGTTCCTTCTATTAAGGCAAGTCGTCCAGGTCCTGAGGCAGCAAAGCATCCCCAAACCATCACACCACCACCACCATGCTTGACCTTTGGTATGATGTTCTTACTGTGGAATGCAGAGTTTGGTTTTCGCCAGGCATTACTGGAACCATCTCGTCCAAAAAGTTATACTTTTGAATCATCTGTCCATAGAACGTTCTTCCAAGAGTCTTGATGATCATCCAGGTGCTTTTTGGCAAACTTGAGTCAACTTTTTGGACGAGATGGGTCCCATTATGCCTGTGCTGCCTCAGGACCTGGACGACTTGCCTTAATAGAAGGAACCATGAATTCTGCTCTGTATCAGAGAATTCTACAGGAGAATGTCAGACCATCCGTCTTTGAGCTGAAGCTGAAGCGCAGCTGGGTCATGCAGCAAGACAATGATCCAAAACACACAATCAAGTCTACATGAAATTGCTAAAAAGCAACAAATTGGAAGTTTTGGAATGGCCTAGTCAAAGTCCAGACCTAATCCCAATTGAGATGTTGTGGCAGGACTTGAAACGAGCAGTTCATGCTTGAAAACCCACACGTCACTGATTTAAAGCAGTTCTGCATGGAAGAGTGGGCCAAAATTCCTCCACAGCGACATGAGAGACTGATCAACAACTACAGGAAGCATTTGGTTGGAGTCATTGCAGCTAAAGGTGGCACAAGCAGTTATTGAGTGTAAGGGGGCAATTACTTTTTCACACAGGGGAATTGGGTGTTGCATAACTTTGTTTATGAAATAAATATGTAATTGTTGTGTTATTTGATGAGTGAGAAAGTTACAGACGCACACATATCATACCCCCAAGACATGCTAGCCTCCCCTGTTATTGTAATGGTGAGAGATTAGCATGTCTTGGGGGTATGATATTTGTGTGTCTGTAACTGTCTCACTCATCATTATTCATAATTCATTCAGGATTATCCATAATCATGGTAGCATCCACATTAATGTAGAAGTGTTCTATTTTATTTACAATATAAGTGGCTCCAAAATGACACATGACGTTATTTGCAATTCATTTCTATTGGGCACAAAATAATCTGAAACGCAACCAAAACAAACAGCAAATGCATCCAACAATTGTGTGGAGTCACAAGCTTGATGTAGTCATTGTGTGCTAGGAATCAGGGACCAAATACTAAACTTTTGACTACGTTAATACACATATACACTACCGGTCAAAAGTTTTAGAACACCTACTCATTCAAGGGTTTTTCTTTATTTTTACTATTTTCTACATTGTAGAATAATAGTGAAGACATCAAAACTATGAAATAACACATATGGAATCATGTAGTAACACAAAAAGTGTTAAACAAATAAAATAAATTTTGATATTTGAGATTCTTCAAATAGCCACCCCTTGCCTTGATGACAGATTTGCATACTCTTGGCATTCTCTCAACCAGCTTCACCTGGATGCTTTTCCAACAGTCTTGAAGGAGTTCCCACATATGCTGAGGACTTGTTGGCTGCTTTTCCTTCACTCTGCGGTCCGACTCATCCCAAACCATCTCAATTTGGTTGAGGTCGGGGGATTGTGGTGGCCAGGTCATCTGATGCAGCACTCCATCACTCTCCTTCTTGATAAAATAGCCCTTACGCAGCCTGGAGGTGTGTTGGGTCATTGTCCTGTTGAAAAACAAATGATAGTCCCACTAAGCCCAAACCAGATGGGATGGCGTATCGCTGCAGAATGCTGTGGTAGCCATGCTGGTTAAGTGTGCCATGAATTCTAAATAAATCACAGACAATGTCACCAGCAAAGCACCCCCACACAATAACACCTCCTCCTACATGCTTTACGGTGGGAAATTTCCACCGGTCTAATGTCCATTGCTCGTGTTTGTTGGCCCAAGCAAGTCTCTTCTTATTATTGGTGTCCTTTAGTAGTGGTTTCTTTGCAGCAAATCGACCATGAAGGCCTGATTCACACAGTCTCCTCTGAACAGTTGATGTTGAGATGTGTCTATTTACTTTATTTGTGCTGCAATTTCTGAGGCTGGTAACTCTAATGAACTTATCCTCTGCAGCAGAGGTAACTCTGGGTCTTCCATTCCTGTGGCGGTCCTCATGAGAACCAGTTTCATCATGGCGCTTGATGGTTTTTGCGAAGAAACGTTCAAAGTTCTTGAAATGTTCCGTATTGACTGACCTTCATGTCTTAAGTAATGATGGATTGTAATTTCTCTTTGCTTATTTGAGCTGTTCTTGCCATAATATGGACTTGGTCTTTTACCAAATAGGGCTATCTTCTGTATACCCCCCCTACCTTGTCACAACACAACTGATTGGCTCAAACGCATTAAGAAGGAAAGAAATTCCACAAATTAACTTTTAAGAAGGCACATCTGTTAATTGAAATGCATTCCAGGTGACTACCTCATGAAGCTGGTTGAGAGAATGCCAAGTGTGTGCAAAGCTGTCATCAAGGCAAAGGGTGGCTATTTGAAGAATCTCAAATAAAAAATATATATTTTGATTTGTTTAACACTTTTTTGGGTACTACACCATTCCATATGTGTTATTTCATAGTTTTGATGTCTTCACTATTATTCTACAATGTAGAAAATAGTAAAAATGAAGAAAAACCCTTGAATGAGTAGGTGTTCTAAAACGTTTGACCGTTAGTGTAAGTGAATTTGTCCCAATACTTTTGATCCCCTAAAATGGAGGGATGATGTACAAAAAGTGTTGTAATTTCTAAACGGTTTCACCCGATATGGATGAAAATAGCCTCAAATTAAAAGCTGACAGTCTGCACTTTAACTTCATAGTCATTGTATCATTTCAGTACAGAGCCAAAACAACAACAAAATGTGTCACAGACCCCTTAGATTTCTTTACAAAGTGGGGTTAAAATTGATTTAATTGTCATTTTTTGGTCAACAATCTACACAAAATACTCAAATGTGAAAGTGAAAAAATAAAAAAAATAAAAAAATAAAAGATTCATAACTAATATATAGTCGTTGCATAAATATTCAGCCCCTTAGTTTAGGCAAGCCTAAATTAGTTTAGGACAAAAATGTTGATTAACAAATCACATAATAAATTACATGGAAATAATAGGGGTTGACATGATTTTTGAATAACTAACCCTTCTTCTGTCCTCCATACATACAACATCTATAAGCCTCTCTGTCAAGTGTTGAATTACAAGCACAGATTCAACTACAAAGACCAGTGAGCTTTTCCGAAAGCCTCATAAAAAGGGCAATGATTGGTAGATGGGTAACAATAACAAATCAGACATTGAATATCTCTTTAAGAATTGTGCTGTGGATTATGTATTAAACCACCCAGACACATCAAAGATACAGTCGTCCTTCTGAACAGAGGACAGGGAGAAAAATGCTGAAGTATGTTACCATAAGGCCATTGGTGATTTTAAAACAGCTACAGAGTTCAATGTCTGTGATGGGAGAAAACTGAGGATGGATCGACAACATTGTAGTGACTCCAGAATAATGACCTAAATGACAGAGTGAAAAGAAGAATACAAATATACAGAATAAAACTATTCCAAAACATGCATACGTATGCAACAAGACACTAAAGTAATACTACAAAAAAAAACACCAAAGGAATAAACTTTTTGGCCTAAATGAAAAGCCACTGAGTAAGTACCTCCTTATTTTCAAGTATGGTGGTGGCTGCATCGTGGTATGGGTATGCTTGATGGCCAATACTGGGGAGTTTCTTAGGATAAAAAGAAACGGGATGGAGCTAAGTACAGGCAAAATCCTAGAGGAAAACCTGCTTCAGTCTGCTTTACACCAGAGACTTTCAGCAGGACAATAACCTATAACACAATGCCAAATCTAGACTGGAGTTGCTTACCAAGAAGATAGTGAATGGTCCTGAGTGGCCAAGTTACAGTGGTGACTTAAATCTGCTTGAAAATCTATGGTAAGACTTGATAATTACAGTCTAGCCATGATCCCCAACACCTTTACAGAGCTTGAAGAATTATGAAAAGAATAATGGGCAAATATTGCAGAATCCAGGTGTGCAAAGCTCTTATAGACTTACCCAAGAAGACACAGCTGTAATCAATGCCAAAGGTGATTCTAACATGTATTGACTCAGGGAGTCGAATACTTATGCAACGACTATATTTTAGTTATTACATTTTTATAATCTTAAAAAGTGTTCAAATTTTTCTTCCACTTTGACATTACAGAGTATTAGTGTAGATTGTTGAAGAAAAAATCACAATTAAATAAATGTTAATCCCACTTTGTAACACAAAAATATTTGAACAAATCCAAGGGGTCTGAATTATTTTGCAAGGTACTGTATACACACACACACACACACACACACACACACACACACCCTTCACACTGCTGGGGCTCAACCACTAACTGTTGTACAGCATTCAACAACCAGAATCATTTCTAAGAACATCATGCCTCCACTGATTTATTCCTGTTTACTCTTTAATAGGTTTGGGCGGTATCCAGATTTTCAAATCATCATACCGCTTCTGTACCATACCGGGGTATACGGTATTACTGGACGTGCACACAAGAGGCACTATTTCCACATAAAAAAAAGCAAACAGGGATCTTGATCCAGGAGGGGATTGAATGTCTCAGCTGTAACCAAGAAGCTTGACCTTGACATCTAGCCACTGAGCTAGCAAGTTAGCAAACCAGATGCATTATTATTGGTATTATTATTATACCATCTTTTTAAAATATACGGTATTGAAAATCATACCGTCGGTATATGGTACAAACGGTATATCGCCCAAGTCTACTCTTTAAGGCCTATTTGATTTGGTCTTATACAAGTCATATGTTGATTGAAATGCACTGTTATCTTTCTATTTCCATCTTAATCTTAATCTTGTTTGATCCCTATCAATCTGGTGTTGTGTCCTCTGTGTAACAACTATTGGATGTTCCCATTCAGCTATTTCCTTTGCCAGTTGGACAAGTCTGTGTTTGTAGTTAGATTTAGCCGTTATCACTCAGTCTCTCTCTGTCTCAGTCTCTCTCTGTCTCAGTCTCTCTCTGTCTCAGTCTCTCTCTGTCTCAGTCTCAGTCTGTCTCAGTCTCTGTCGCTCTCTCTTGCTCTCTTGCTCTCGCAACTCTCTCCTTTCTCTCTCTCTCTTTCGCTCTCTGTCTCTCTCTTTATCTACTCTCAAGAGATTGGAGTGTTATATGAGAGGTGTTTTCATGAGGTTTTGACTGTATCCTCGCCATGTTAACGGCTCTATCTTCTCAATTGGGTTTAGAGTGGTGTAATGTGTGCTGTTCGCCTCTGTTGCTGGAAAACATAGGGCAGCCTTCCAATAGCCGCATCAAGCTGCTGATGATATGCTTAAGTGCTCATTGATTGTAATATAATTCCAGCGTGATCAGCAATATTGTCTATAATATGTATTTTGGCTCCATGCAAGGTTTTCCCCTTTCACCCTCCCTGGTGCCATGCCACTGCCTGAGTAACTCCCAGTCCTTATGTTACTGAACTACACTAAGTCCCACAGCAATATACTGGTTAAGTTAAATTGATGCTGTTGCCAGATTCTCCCAATCTGATCAGTGTCTCTTTCTCTTGACCATCTGAACTCTTCGTATATGTTTCAGACCATCCCTTCTAGGGATGAACATAATGGTTATTTTTTCAACTGGTTAACCAGCATCATCAACCAGGTGAAAACCGGTTATACGTGCCAAAAGGTTCTAGAAAATAATTGATATGTCATTTGTTTGTCCTAACCTGTGTGTCACTCCTGACCTTTGACCTCTGTGTGTAGGAACTGGAGCAGCGTCTGCGGCAGCAGCACCACATAGAGCTCCAGTCTCTGAGAGAGGCCCACAGACACAGCATAGAGACCCTCAAACAACAGTCAGAGCAGGAGCTGCAGACACTACGCTTCGAGCTGGAGGACGAGGGCAAGGCCATGCTGGGTAAGAGCCATGCTGGGTTAGGGCCTGATGGGGAATGGTCACAGGGTCTCACACTGGGTTAAGGGCCCTGGCAGGGAGGGAGACACACCGGGTTAGTGCCCAAATAACGAGGGCCATGCTGGGTAAGACAAGGATAGTGCACTTTTTTTACATACTGAGTAAGGACCTTCAGAGAGAATGTTCATACTGTATGTAGTAATAGGGGACCATACTAGGTAAATGCTACACTTGTAGCCCTCATAAACTAAACCACCCAGTGCAGCTTAACACCCCGGCCATCCTAGAATCCAAACTAGATGCCCTCAATCTCACACAAATGATCAAGGAACCTACCAGGTACAACCCTAAATCCATAAACATGGGCACCCTCATAGATATCATCCTGACTAACTTAACCTCTAAATACACCTCCGCTGTCTTCAAACAGGATCTCAGCGATCACTGCCTTATTGCCTGCGTCCGTAACGGGTCCGCGGTCAAACGACCACCCCTCATCACTGTCAAACGCTCCCTAAAACACTTTAGCGAGCAGGCCTTCCTAATTGACCTGGATATCGATCTCATTCCGTCAGTAGAGGATGCCTGATTGTTCTTTAAAAGTGCTTTCCTCTCAATCTTAAATAAGCATGCCCCATTCAAAAAATTCAGAAATAAGAACAGATATAGCCCCTGGTTCTCCTCAGACTTGACTGCCCTTGACCAGCACAAAAACATCCTGTGGCGTACTGCATTAGCCTCGAATAGCCCCTGCGATATGCGACTTTTCAGGGAAGTTAGGAACCAATATACACAAGCAGTTAGGAAAGCAAAGACTAGCTTTTTCAAACAGAAATGTGCATCCTGTAGCACTAACTCCAAAAAGTTTTGGGACACTGTAAAGTCCATGGAGAATAAGAGCACCTCCTACCAGCTGCCCACTGCACTGAGGCTAGGAAACACTATCACCACCGATAAATCTACAATAATCGAGAATTTCAACAAGCATTTTGCTACGGCTGGCCATGCTTTCCACCTGGCTACCACTACCCTGGCCACCAGCTCTGCACCCTACGCTGCAACTTGCCCATGCCCCGCCCCCCCCCCCCCCCCCCCCCCGCTTCTCCTTCACACAAATTCAGACAGCTAATGATCTGAAAGAGCTGCAAAATCTGGACCCCTACAAATCATCTGGGCTAGATGATCTGGACCCTTTCTTTCTAAAATTAGCTGCCTAAATTGTCGCAACCCCTATTACTAGCCTGTTCAACCTCTCTTTCGTAATGTCTGAGATCCCCAGAGATTGGAAAGCTGCCGTGGTCATCCCCCTCTTCAAAGGAGGTGACGCTCTAGATCCAAACTGTTACAGACCTATACCATCCTGCCCTGCCTTTCGAAAGTTTTTGAAAGCCAAGTTAACAAACAGATCACCGACCATTTCGAATACCACCGTACCTTCTCCGCTATGCAATCCGGTTTCCGAGCTGGTCATGGGTGCACCTCAGCCACGCTCAAGGTCCTAAACGATATTATAACCGCGATCGATAATAGACAGTACTGTGCAGCCGTCTTCATCGACCTGGCCAAGGCTTTCGACTCTGTCAACCACCGCATTCTTATTGGCAGACTAAATAGCCTTGGTTTCTTAGATAGAGTTCAATGTGTCAAATCGGAGGGCCTGTTGTCTGGACCTATGGCAGTCTCAATGGGGGTGCCACAGGGTTCAATTCTCGGGCCGTCTCTTTTCTCTGTGTATATCAATGATGTCGCTCTTGCTGCTGGTGACTCTCAGATCCACCTCTACGCAGACGACACCATTTTGTATACATCTGGCCCTTCATTGGACACTGTGTTAACAAACCTCCAAACGAGCTTCAATGCCATACAACACTCCTTCTGTAGCCTCCAACTGCTCTTAAACACTAGTAAAACTAAATGCATGCTCTTCAATCGAACGCTGCTGGCACCCGCCCACCCGACTAGAATCACTACTCTCGGCGGGTCTGACCTAGAGTATGTGGACAACTACAAATACCTAGGTGTCTGGTTAGACTGTAAACTCTCCTTCCAGACTCACATTAAGCATCTCCAATCCAAAGTTAAATCTAGAATCGGCTTCCTATTTCGCTTCCTATTTCCTCCTTCACTCATGCTGCCAAACATGCCCTCGTAAAACTGACTATCCTACCGATCCTTGACTTCGGCGATGTCATTTACAAAATAGCCTCCAACACTCTACTCAGCAAATTGGATGTAGTCTATCACAGTGCCATCCGTTTTGTCACCAAAGCCCCATATACTACCCACCACTGTGACCTGTACGCTCTTGTTGGCTGGTCCTCACTACTTATTCGTCGCCAAACCCACTGGCTCCAGGTCATCTATAAATCACTGCTAGGCAAATCCCCGCCTTATCTTAGCTCATTGGTCACCATAGCAACACCCACCCGTAGTATGCGCTCCAGCAGGTATATCTCACTGGTCATCCCCAAAGCCAACACCTCCTTTGGCCGCCATTCCTTCCAGTTCTCTGCTGCCAATGACTGGAACGAACTGCAAAAATCTCTGAAGCTGGAGACTCTTATCTCCCTCACTAACTTTAAGCATCAGTTGTCAGAGCACCTTACCGATCACTGCACCTGTACACAGCCCATCTGAAATTAGCCCACCCAACTACCTCATCCCCATATTGTTATTTATTTTGCTAATTTGCACCCCAGTATCTCTATTTGCACATCATCTCTTGCACATCTATCATTCCAGTGTTAATACTAAATTGTAATTATTTTGCACTATGGCCTAACTTGCTACATTTGCACACACTGTATATATATTTTCTGTTGTATTTTTGACTTTATGTTTTGTTTACCCCATATGTAACTCTGTGTTGTTGTTTTTATCGCACTGCTTTGCTTTATCTTGGCCAGGTCGCAGTTGTAAATGAGAACTTGTTCTCAACTGGCTTACCTGGTTAAATAAAGGTTAAATAAAAAATTTATTAAAAAAACAGCCCCACACCCTCCCTGTAGGAATCAAGATCAACGCTGGAACATTCCATCATATAGCTTGTTAGAGGTAGAGGGATGTACTGTATGATGAATGTGTTTTAATTAGCCAGGGGAGCTCCCTAAGGACCCTGTCTGTCTCTCTCTATCTGGTTCCTAGCCTCTCTGCGCTCAGAGCTCAACCACCTCCACGCCTCGGCCATAGAACAGCTACGGCAGACCCACCAGCAGGAGAAAGCTGCAGCCAAACTAGAGCTGGAGAATGCACTGGAGAACAACCGGATACAGGTCAGACTCACCGGGACCTACTGGCATTCCACATATCACTTAGCTAACAGAGATAATGGTAACAATATGGATGGGCCAGCATTAGTTTGCATTACAGTATAATTGGATATTGGCCATGAACAGCATTGTATTTTCCATAACAGCAGGCAATTTTGGATAGTGGCTCAACAATGAGGCTAGACATTAGTTCAACGCATGAGGATAGATAATGATATTTAAAAAGTATATGCCCACGCACACTTTAGAATCTAGATAATCCTTCTGTGCCTTTTATTGTGCAGACTGAAATACTTTAGCACTAATGGCCATAGACTATATAGATCTCCCTTGGCAACAGCCCTCTTTTCTCCTCACTCTGGCATCTGTTGCTTGTATATTCACACAACTGAATAGCTGTGTGGCTTGTTGGATATGGCTTGAGCAAGAGTCATCACCGTGTTGGGACCTGGGGTGCTGGCCTCTAGAGAGAGAACAAGCAACAGCTTTCCTTCCCTCCCACACGCACGCAAAGCACACACATGCACACACACACACTCACACACTCACAGCAAGAGCCCACTGTGTCCCGCAGCGAGATTGACTTAAGACAGCCTTTGCCTAGAAGATGAAGCAGAAAAAAAGCTTAAAGTGCTTAACACATCCATTTTCTCCTTATTCCTCCACTTGCTGCAATAAAACTGGGTGCTTTATATCACGAACACAGGCCATGTTATCAGAAACAAAGAGTGAAACTATGACCTATTGTACATAAACAATAGCTATGCCGCAGCTGACAGTATGTGCAGGTTAAAAGATAGTAATGCACAGAGGAGAGGCTTGGCTCAGCTGATGTGTCAGTTAGAGAGCAGTAGATGTACCTCACATAATACCTGCACTACGAGCCAGCCCAGCCGGCCCATCTTCTGACAACGTGCTCTTCATCTCGTGCATAAATCACTCGAATTATGTTTAACGCCCTGGGTCCTCTGTCATCGCCATGGCGAGATGTTCAGGCCCAGGTACACAGCTGTTTCTGTGAGGACCTACTCCTTTGCAAGTCAGTCTACAGCAAGGTTACAAGGCAAATACAGTTCTACCTGCCAAATAAAACTAGGTAAACGAACTCCAGTGCAAACGGCTTCGCTTTCCACCGTGACACAGTAATCATCTAAACCACTTACCGCAGACAGGCCCCTATCACAACAGAAGCAGGCTATTATGTCAGGGTTATGACAGGGTTTTTGTTTTGTTTTAGTTTTTCCTATAGAGATGAAAATAGCACTGGCAGCAAAGCATTTTTTTTTTTACTGTAAGCTATTTCAATGTGACATCCACCTCCTGTTATGATGTGAGGATGCCTGGAAAACAAAACAGGAAATATATTGAGGTCTTTGAGGTGTGATTATCGCTTGTATTAGACAGCAATGCATATCCCAAATGCATATGAAATGCCCTGCCTGGTCTTTGCCCCTGAGTGGTGTGTGTGAAGTGAACCATGGTCTGTTCTTCTCATCCGTTTATAGGGCTGCCATATCCAAGCACCACATTACACACAGGAGCTCTGACATCTCTCATGGCATAAACAGGGTTCCTGGTGGTGTCTCAATCAAGCAACAACCTTCCCTAAGCCCCCTCACTCCCTCGGCTTCAAACTGTGTTCAGCTCAGCATTCAGACATGGCATGATACAGCCCTGTCTCTCTTTCTATGTCCCATAGGACTGCGTGATTTACCAGCTGCTGAGCCATCTCTCCCGCGTGAGCCAACCCTCATTTAAATGCATTAGGCCCCATACTACCCGTACATTGATTCATCCTTAATTATACAGATATGCTAATCACAGCCGCCAGTTATGTCTCCCAGACTGTACGGCTGCTGTTGTCTTTTATAGACATGTGTTGTGGATTTACCCAGTAAATGGTAAAGCTCTGATCTTTAGAATAAACATGTACCTTCAGGGGGGGTTGAGTGTGTTGGAGTATGTGAGTATGTGCGTGTGTGCTTGTCTGGCATCTGTTGTGGGGGGGGTGGGGATGTTGGGGGGGAGGGGGGGGGGGGGGCATTATTACGTGAACTGCCGACGCTATTACGCATATTAATTGATAATGATGGAAAATAGGATATGCATAATTTTTTTTAAATAGTTATATACAGTGGGGGAAAAAAGTATTTAGTCAGCCACCAATTGTGCAAGTTCTCCCACTTAAAAAGATGAGAGAGGCCTGTAATTTTTCATCATAGGTACACGTCAACGATGACAGACAAATTGAGAGAGAAAAAATTCCAGAAAATCACATTGTAGGATTTTTAATGAATTTATTTGTCACGCACGTTGACTGATGACTCGTGGAACCAAGGCGCAGCGTGATAAGCGTACATCTTTATTGATACAAAACACACGAACAAAACAACAAAACGAAACGATACGTGAAGTCCTGAGGTTACACACACCAAACCTTAACGGATCAAGATCCCACAAACTAACTGGTGCCAACAGGCTGCCTAAGTATGGTCCCCAATCAGAGACAACGAGCTACAGCTGCCTCTGATTGGGAACCACCCTGGCCAACATAGATCTAAACGATCTAGAACAAAAAACATAGAAAACTAAACATAGAAAAATCCACACCCTGGCTCAACATTTAAGAGTCCCCAGAGCCAGTACCCCCCCCCCACAAACACAAGAGGGTAGGGGCCGGGTGGGCATTCCGCCTCGGAGGCGGATCCGGCTCCGGGCGTGACCACCACCTTTTCTCCACCTCCCCGTTGCGCCCCTGGTCTGGTCTGGCCCCGCTGACTGGAGCTGGACCCGACGACGGTGGACCAAACCTTACCGGCTCCGGACTGGAGCCGCTGGCCGGAGCTGGACTGGACACCGGTGGAGCGGATTGCTCTGGCTCCGGAGTGGATCCGCTGACTGGAGTTGGACCGGACCCCGGTGGAGCGGATTGCTCTGACTCCGGAGTGGAGCAGCTGACCGGTGCCGGACCGGTGGAACAGGCACGGGCCGTGCCGGACTGGACACACGCACCACTGGCTTGGCGCGGAGAGCAGGAACGGGCCGGACCGGGCTGACGACGCGCACCACTGGCTTGGTGCGGGGAGCAGGAACGGGCCGGACCGGCCGACGACGCGCACCCACAGGCTTGGTGCGGGGAGCAGGGGACAGGCCGGACCGGGCTGGCGACGTCGCACCCACTGGCTTGGTGCGGGGAGCAGGCCAGGCCCAAGACCGGGCCTGGGGGACGAGCACGCACTGGCTTGGTGCTGGAGCAGGAACAGGCCGGACCGGGCTGGGAACAAACCACCACTGGCTTGGTGGGGGGGAGGGATCAGGAACATGGCCGGGCTGGGACTGGGAACACAGCAACCCACTGTCTTGGTGCGGGGAGAAGGAACAGGCCGGGCTGGACTGGTGAACCACGCAGGGTCCCACCGGCTTGGTGCGGTGAGGCCGGAACGGGCCCGGGCCGGACTGTGGAGGCGGACTGGAGGTCTGGAGCAGAGAGCTGACACACACACCCGTCCTGGCTGAATGCCTATTTCCACACAATATGGTGTGGAAGGCATCAGCACAGGACGTAACAGGGCTGTGCAACTCGTACTGGTGCTACAGCACGTGGCAACTGGTACAGGAATATACGGGAGCCGAGGAGGCGTACTGGAGGCCACGAGCGTTGAGCCGGCACACCCCGTCCTGGCTGCATGCCCATCTTAGCACGACACGTGCGTGGTGCTAGCACCGGACGTACAGGACTGTGCCGGAACACACGCGGCACAGTACGTGGCTCCGCATAACACGGAGCCTGCCCAGTCTCACGCTTCCTAGCCTGAGTACGGGGAGTTGGCTCTGCTCTAACTCTAGGCTCCGCCAACCACCCTTATAGCCCCCCCCCAAAAAAAATATTGGGGCTGTCTCTCGGGCTTCCTCCTCGGCCGGTACCCTCTGCGATGCCGCTGCTCCTCTCTGTAGCGCGCCTCTACAGTCTCCTCCCAAGGACGGCGATCCATTCCGGCCTGAATCTCTTCCCAAGTCCAGGATCCCTTCCCGTCCAGGATCTCCTCCCAAGTCCAGGCTGTCTGTTCCTGGACACGCTGCTTGGTCCTTTTTTGGTGGGATCTTCTGTCACGCACGTTGACTGATGACTCGTGGAACCAAGGCGCAGCGTGATAAGCATACATCTTTATTGATACAAAACACACAAACAAAACAACAAAACTAAACGATACGATACGTGAAGTCCTGAGGTTACACACACCAAACCTTAACGGATCAAGATCCCACAAACTAACTGGTGCCAACAGGCTGCCTAAGTATGGTCCCCAATCAGAGACAACGAGCTACAGCTGCCTCTGATTGGGAACCACCCTGGTCAACATAGATCTAAACGATCTAGAACAAAAAACATAGAAAACTAAACATAGAAAAATCCACACCCTGGCTCAACATTTAAGAGTCCCCAGAGCCAGGGCGTGACATTATTTGCAAATTATGGTGGAAAATAAGTATTTGGTCACCTACAAACAAGCAAGATTTCTGGCTCTCACAGACCTGTAACTTCTTCTTTAAGAGGCTCCTCTGTCCTCCACTCGTTACCTGTATTAATGGCACCTGTTTGAACTTGTTATCAGTATAAAAGACACCTGTCCACAACCTCAAACAGTCACACTCCAAACTCCACAATGGCCAAGACCAAAGAGCTGTCTGTCAAAGGACACCAGAAACACATTTGTAGACCTGCACCAGGCTGGGAAGACTGAATCTGCAATAGGTAAGCAGCTTGGTTTGAAGAAATCAACTGTGGGAGCAATTATTAGGAAATGGAAGACATACAAGACCACTGATAATCTCCCTCGATCTGGGGCTCCACGCAAGATCTCACCCTGTGGGGGTCAAAAAGATCACAAGAACGGTGAGCAAAAATCCCAGAACCACCACGGGGGGACCTAGTGAATGACCTGCAGAGAGCTGGGACCAAAGTAACAAAGCCTACCATCAGTAACACACTACGCCGCCAGGACCTCAAATCCGCAGTGCCAGACGTGTCCCCCTGCTTAAGCCAGTATATGTCCAGGCCCGTCTGAAGTTTGCTAGAGTACATTTGGATGATCCAGAAGAGG